AAAACATGCAGAGCAGGGGGCGTTGAAGACCAGAGTTAAAAAACACTGCCTTAACTATTAAGTGTCACTCCCAGTGAAGTCTCACTTGCTGCTGTGGAAGGAGGCTTGTTTGAAGGGGGAAGGGGTATAAACTATAAAGAGACGTCTTCTTCCCTCCAACGGTAAAGGTAAGCAGCCGTTGCTATGGCAACACAGTGGTGCCCCATGTGTGGCTGTAGCTCTGTGGCGTAGGTTAACGTAACATTAAACATTTGCCCCTTTCTTAAAACAAATGTATACGGTCAAATACAACCATTTCAAAGAGGACCTTCCATTTTGGAATTACTTACATTTTTTTTTTTCATGTACTAATTTATGATTATCTGTCAGCGTGACAAAGATGCAGCCAACCAGCACGATTTACATTTGGCGGAACGTGTTTCCTCTCCCACCAGGCCGCTGTTACACCTGCTGCAAAATTCTGATGCACTTGTTATTTAAGGACTGAACGGTCAACTCGCTCTACCCACTAGGGGATTTGGGATGGCACTTAATTTGGCAGACCCTCCGCGGGTACGCGCAAACGGAGGGTAAGTGCTCAGGGTTAGTGTTTAGGGGTCAGTTTGGGATTGAGCCCAGGTGTTTTAGGTGTTAAAAGCTGTAGGCAGGAAGGATCTTCTGTAGTGGTCTGTCATGCACCACATCTGGACAAGCCTCTGACTGAAGACACTGAATATTTTCTGAAGCGGATGCTCACTGTTGTCTATAACTTCAAAGATTTGATATATTTTGACCAAGATTAGGGGAAATCTTTACTGCAATCTACACAAAAGGACAGATTAGTTTGAGATTTTTAGACTTAACTGTGTCTGGAAGTGTCCGTTTTTTTTCCTGTCAGATTTTTTAGAGTGCAGCTCTCTGATCACACCTGTTGGTTAGGCTTTGGTACTGCAGGCATAGTACGGTCCGCCTCATTATGAACAAACAGATAAGTCTTTGCAGATGATGCATTTAAACCGGTATGTTGACATTTGAGGTTGGAGGTTGTTCTCTGTGAGGAATCCCTCTCTTCTGCTTGATCTTTCTCACCTGAGGATGCCAAAGGTTTAGCGGGTTTTGAAGAAGATGAGGAGCTGCTGTTTGCTGACAGAGAAAATGAGTTGGAGGTCTTGCAGTTTTTACTATACTCTGGGTTATCTCCACTTAAAGATGATGAATGTGAATTCTTCATTTCTTTGTTGGTCTGCTCAGAGGAGGAGGAGCTTTCAGAGTCGCTTCTTTCTTCAGTGGAAATCTAGAGAAATATATGAGAAAGATCAGGAACTCAGAGTTAAAAACAGAGCTTTTTGTTAATCTTCAATATTAAAAAATAATATTGCTTTAATATGCTCCAACATGTCTAGTGGTGAGCGGCTTTTACATTGCGAAAAGTAAATTTTACCCTCTTTTAAAAGAATGAATCTTATAGAAACATGTTTAATATCTAACTAAAAAAGACATTTTTATTGGTTTTTGAATGAAATTTTCAGATTTGTTTTAATGGTAAAAAGTCGTTATAAAGAAAATAAAGAAATGGTAAAAATCAACAAATCTTCAAACTCGTAAAAATGTATAATCCTTTGCAAATATAACAGTAAACACAACAACACACATAATTGACCTTTTTGTTTACATCTTTAATCTTGTTTCTGAAGCCTCTGTCACACCTTGATGATTTAGATCAGCGTATGCACGACGTACGAAAAATCTGGCAAAAACACTGGCATACGTTGGATTGAAGTCATGGGTACGTTTTGTATAAGTTATGAGCACGCTGGCACACGTTGCCATACCGCAAGTACGTCAAAAAATTCTGAGCATGAACAAAATTTCCCGACGTATGCCAGGGAAAGCCATACATGGGCCATAGGTTACAGGTAAGTTATCTGATTGTTGACATTTGTTAAGTATAAGTTACTCATAAGTCGTGGTATCTAGCTCTATCTGTAGAGGCAAGGATGCATATTGTCTTGTCTCTAAGGGTAGGGTGCATGTGTTAAAGGTATGTATGGGCATGTGTGGGTGGAGCTAAAAGTGGGTGTTGGCATGTGTCTGGAGCTGAATGATTGTCTAATGAATATCACCTGGATCTGCTCTGGGGCTGTTTGTTTGATTCAGAGAGAGGCTAAAGCAGGGGGCCAATATTTCTGTTGACCGCAGGTTTGAAGCAAAATAAGTCTGCAAATCTACCTGTTTTACAATGCTTCACAGAAAAGGTACAATAAACATCCCTAACTGCAGAAAAGCTTTATGTTTCTCTTTGGATTCAGCGCGTAGAATAGATCCCTGCTCTCCGTGACAAATTTTTGGATGATAGTCGCCTACACCATCAGTAACTTGTGCATAACATATGTGTAACTTATCAAAAGCTTTTCTCCAAAGCATATCAATGAATTTGACGTGTTCCAGACGTCTTTTTGAAGTACTGCTACCATTTAGTGGCGTATTGCAGTGTTTTGGTATAAAAGGGGGTCTACAGGAGGAAACCGTGAGTACTCCTCCAGACTTCATGGTGAGCAGACAAGAGATGAAGGATCCGGCAAGGCTGAAACGGGAATACATATTTGCTGTCCTCCAACATCAGCATGATCTCATCAATTGGACTCCAGTATCAGTTTTAGGGTTAGCAAGAAGGTGAGTGTGATGGATCCTCCCTGCGTCCATGGCCATGACCAACAAACTTCCTAGCAGACATGACGCCGAATCTGCTGCGACTGCAAACATTTTTCTTTACATTTAATTTTTCGTTTAGCGGCAGCTAAGTTAATACCACAATCAAATAAATATTTTTATGCAGGCCGAGCTCCTCGAGGCGCAATACTGCATCCCTCAGGACACCTGCTTGAGCATCATTTCATGCAATTTAGGCTGCCATGCGTTATGCATAAGTTAGGCTGTTGCAGGACAAAAGTTCTGGACTTGTTATGAATACTCTATCTATACGCCCAAAATTGGAAGAAATACATGAAAAGTTCAGTGTATGCGAGCGTTTTAGAAGATTATGGGATGTCAGGCTGGATAAATCATGAAGGTGTGACAGGGGATTTACTAAGTTAATTGCACCGTGGTAAACTAGGAGCCACAGGTTGCAGAGTACAGGGTTTATCTCCCCTTTTTTTGTAAAATATATACATATATAGTAAAAATAAATATAGAATAAAATCACCTGCTTGCTCAGAGTGGAGCTCTCTCGTTGATGTTTGAATTGAAGAATGATGCTTTTTAGTTTATTCAAAGAAGCCAAGTCAAACTGAGGACTTTCTGGTTCTTTATCTGATGGAAGCAAACTTGGGTTTGGAAGATCAGCACGGGCTGCTGCTTCCTCTTCCATCCCTCTGCACGCCAGCTGAGGCGACTCTGATGGAGCTCTCAGCGATGAGGCCTCTGTAGAGACACTGATGGCGTCACGCTCAAGGTTCACTGCAGTCTTCTGACATTCCTTCAGTCGCTCCTTTCGACTTAATAAACTATAATAAAAACAAATATCAGGGAAAATATTCACTATTTTTAGATCATCCAGTAAAAAAGTTTAATCCTAGAGACACAATGGCTGAAAAGTTTGACCATGAAAGAAATTCTCACCGTTCAATGCGTCCAACCTGCCTCCTGAAACATTAGGGGGAAAAGAAGAAAGACAAAGACACATTCTTAGAAAAATGACAATCTTTCATTTTTATCTAATGACCGACTGTTATGAATGAAGTTCCCACACTTACCAAGCTTCATGCTGCTCAGACATTTTGCACACGGATAAGTTTTGCATCACCTTTGATACTCCGCTGGACTCTGCCATCTCGATGTAAATCTGTTAGCAGATCAACAGTAGAGGGTGCAGCAAACAAATGAGTGAGAAAAGAAAGAAATTATAACACAAACCTCCACTGAATGCACTGTAAAGCTTTTCATTTGGTTATTGGCCTTTTTTTGCACACCATGAGTACCGCTCTCAGTCAAAACTATTGATTGTCCAAAAGGGAAATGTACAATAACTAAATATAAAATAAGATATTTAACTTAATATTTTAATGTGAGCTCATTTCTGCTATTTATCGTACCCTGTTGGCGAGCGGCAGGAAGCTGGCAAAACTAGCCAATGTCGCCACTTTCTTCATCACCATCATTGCGATCTCCTGGTTTGTCCCTGAAACCTCCACACAGAGCAGCCGCTCCTCCAAAGACTTCAGATCTGGAACACGCTGGAAAACAAAAAGGAATTTGGTGTCAATTCAAAAAAAGGAAAATAATGCATAGAAAACAGGGAAACTTTTATTAAAAAAAGTGAAATGTGACTCACAATATTGCTCCATTGCATCAGAGTCCTAAACATGGACACCTGGAACAACAGCATTCAGTTTTTAACATTCACTGCATTTTATATACAATTACGAACTTTATAATAATAGAAATAGGAGCTGAAAATGCAACATAAGAGCAGTGACAAATGCTCTTATGTTGTTAAAAACAAAATAATGCAACATGGACAAAAGTGACCAGAATAAACTGCTGATCGGACTAACAATGTCTCACGTAAACATCTAAGTTAGAATATTCTGATTGTATTGGGAGGAAGTTTTTCTTTATGTGGGAGGCTGACCTGAGTATGCATGCGTTTCCCACAACAACGTAGCGTACGGTTCTTCTTTTTGTTTACATGACCTCTTTCTTTTAGTCTGATCAGCCGTTTAAATTAATCACTAACCGTAAGTAGACAGTATATATATTTTATTGTCTACAACAGCGCAAGCACATCTTTAACATCTAAGGAAATGTTTAGGCTCGAGTTAATGCAACATCCTGAAGCAATCCTTGATTACCATGACGACCCATCCTACATCCAGGTAGTAATAGCAGTTACTGATGGAAAACAGCCACAATTTCAATGTAAATCCCTCACCTCACTGGATCCAAGGTGAATATCCTCCAAGACTAAATGAATCTTAGGAATAAAGTCTTTTAAATAAATTGGATTCGTGTTCTGATCTCGAAGAAATCTTTGGCAATCGTCGCTGCTGCTGAAAAACACAAAAGCCTGCAAAATGAGAAAGATATGAAGAATCAGGACGCATTGAAGCATTTTTGTTTTACCTGGAAAAAAATGAGGAAAACATTGCTGCAGCTCTTTACCCTTCTCTGGAGTGGTAAAACCACAACATTGTTGTAGAGAGTGTGAAGGTTCTGTTCAGGGAAATACTTCCACACCAGCAAAGCCACATCCTCTTGTGTGTAGGTTTTATTTGGAAACCCCGTCAACATGATGATGGGGAACTTCAAATGTTGCTGAGAAATCTACAAGAATAAAAATTTTATTCTTTTATTTACTGAAAATTGGAACAGGCTTGAAGATAAAAAAACAAAAAATATATATTTTTGACCATATTTTTGGTACTATAGAGTGCACCTCACTATAAGCCACACCCACTAAGTTTTCTTCAAAACTTGGAAAAGTACATATGTTAACAACGTCGGAATACAAGCGCTTATATCTACTGAACTGTCTCCCACCAAACCTTTTTCATCTCTGCAGGAGTTGCACAGTGTCTCCTCATTGATTCAACAGCTTTAATGTGGTAAATAAATGTAAGATGTGTGAATTTGGGACATTTATTTTTTTGCTGTGCCTGTTGCTATAGCATATCCTTGTGCTAACTGAAAATTAGCCCTTTCTTTGTTTTCAAACATCGATTTCCACCCCCTGGTGTTAGGAAAAATCCACAATAAAGCTGCAACTTGGTATAGGCTGCATGGTTCAAAGTGTGGAGAAAAAAGTAGAGGCTTATAGTCTAAGGAAATAAGATTTCCAAGTCACAAGATTTTTTTTTTTTTTACAAAAATAGCCAATTTATTGCATAGTAAATAGAAGAGTAGAATTTTGAAAAAAAAAACCCTACATACCTCCATATACGTCTTCTTATTGACGGTCTGATAAGCTAGAAGTGAAAACAAAGCCAGTTTACACTTCATATCAACATGATTTACAGCTAATATGAACTGAAATAACAAGGCAGAGGTCATTCTCTTTCGTAGTTCTGTAACAAGAAAAGTAGACAAAACACAGAAAACTAAAATAAAGAGTTTCATTAAAAGTCTTTAGAAAGAGAGAGAACATTATCAGAGTGAGCTCAAAGGTATTTAAAACACTGATATTGTCAACATTTCAATTATTCCAGCGAATTAAAGGTACAGTAGGAGATCTTTTCCGACAAATTTTTTACCATGTGGCTTAAAGATCTCCCCACAGCCGCTTAGCAAGCAGTGAAATAGAAGGTCTGGAAGTGAAACTAAAATAAATGTTCCCTGCTACAGTGAGAAATAAACAAATAAACTAAACTGTTTGCATTTCTAGGTCTCTGTGCAAGTTGCTGTTTTCATGTTTCAGAATCTCTTCCTCCAGCATAAATGACCAGATTTATTGGTTACAAATCATCTTTATTTAATAACAAATGTATTGTTATACTACTTGATTACTTCATACATTCATCTGCATTCTAAAAATTTGCACCGTTTTACTCCAATTGTACATTCGTATAATTATTAGCATGTTTTCGGGCCTTTGTATAAAACTTGCAGCCAGTTTGATGTTTAGGATCTGTTAACTCTTCCTGCTATGCTAAAATTATTTTTTTTTTACCATAAACTCAGAATTGGTCTCCTCCAGTTACATTAAGATCTTCTGGTGGCCACTTCGGGAGCCATTTTTAGACAGAAGGTTTAGAGTTTATTTTGAAGTTTGAGCTGTATTTGCACTGGATATGTGAATCTCAAAGGGAAAGATGCTTTTTAATAACTGCATCTAGCATTTAATCTATTGCTCCTTTTCTAGTCCAGGAACTGTCTAAGAACCTGATCAGGACTCAAACAACTAAATGCATCAGATCGACAAGGTAACTGACGGTTTAACACCTGAACCTCACTTAGAAATGAAATGTTGTGCTTGTTTTACCTGGGATGTTGAAATAAGGAGATGCAGTTTGAAGCACGTAAGGACTTGTTTTTGTGGTATTCCAGAAAGGGCCCTCGCTTCCCTCTGGAATGGGCAATGGGTCTTTCCTCTGGACGCTGGCTCCGGTTGAGATGTCCTCCCTGAGAGGCGAAGCTGCCACTGCTGCTGGAGTCAGCTCTGCACAAACCAGAGATGAATATGTAGATATACGTCTACAGCTACAGCTGCAAACAGGGGGGGGCTCAGAAAGCGTCGCCAACGATTGTGAACTTTCAGTCTACATGTTTTCCAATGAGGCACAGCAAGGTTATTTATAAAGCACATTTCAGTAGCAAGACTTTAGAAAAAGAAACATAAGAGAAAAACAACGATATCTATACATTGCATTAAAAGAAATCAATACATTAAATGAATAATAAAATAAAAGAAAGATTGATGAGAAATTAATTTTTCCACAGCAAAATGAAAGACCGCTGTAAGAAAGATTAAAAAGCAATTTAGGGTTTCAGCAATTTTATAGTTTTCTGGAAGGTTATTCCGGATAAGTGGAGCAGCGCTCCTTTTTATAAACCGGTTGTACACATCTTTGGCAAACCCCCAGATTCCACATCCTCAACCCCACCCACGTACATCATGTTAATCATTGAGAACACATCCACTGTCTACGTACTTCTTCTCCCTCAGTCACCGTCAAAATACGGAGCCGAGCCGGCCAGGTCAAGATCCGCAATTGCAATCGCAGCAAACAGGAAAAAGAACGCCGAGAAGATCCCGTTTCTCAAATTAAAATATAGTAACGATGGATTCGTAACTACAAATTAGAGCATAATTCTTATACATTCCCAAAAACTAAGACTGTTTAATTTAATGAGTGACTGCAAACTGAGAGGCTTGAAAGTTTCTTCAAATCCAGTCACAACAGCTTCGAAGAACGTCTCTCACATCTTGAAAAGAAAGTTTTTATTGCAGTCAGCATGAATGAAGAGATGCTGAGTTTGGAAGTAGAGACAAAACATTCATACAAGCCAAATTTGATCCAAGTAACAACGGAAAAAAAAAAAAAAAAAAAAAAAAAAAAATTGGGCAAAAAAGGCAAAAAAACCGGAAGCCGAAGGGGAATTTAAAATCCCCAATTAATTTCCCAAGGGGTGCCCCAATTTAATTTTAAAAAAAATATAGCGCATGCCCTTTTTGAGCTCCAAGGAAGTCGGAACAAGCAACAGGAATAACCGCGGAGGCTTTAGGCTTTGCGCAGGCAGTCTGAAGCAGAACGGGGCGGTCACGGAGGATGTGGGATTTCGTGTGTAAAAGAGCTGCTCAGCTCCTTTTACAGACTGGTGCAGAGAGTGGAAGGTGTCGTCCATGATGGATGTAAGCTTGGACAGACCCCACCTCTCAGCCTCACTTCCTCCATTGAGTCCAGAGGGCAGCCCGGGACAGAAACGGCCTTTCTCACCAGTTAGTTCAGTCTCTTTCTGTCCCGCTCTGCACTGCCAGTGTTATGAGTTCAGTCCAGTTTATTATTGAAATGAACACCCAGGTATTTTACGTTGTTTTTAATTAAACTTTTTCATAAGTTTGGATAAATATTTACAGTTTGAGAGTAAAAAAAAGCATCCAAGCAGGAAGAGAAGCAGAAGCACAGGGGTTGGAATGAGCTTATCTGGTGTATAAGGAGCCTAACTCACCTTTCGGAGAATTCAACATTTCATTTTTCTTTGTCTGCTGACCATTAAGAGAACTGGGACCTTTCCAGGACATGTACCAAACTGCCAGTCGATTGGCATCTGAAGCGTTTTCACAATGAACAAAAGCCTGGAATAAAATACAAAGTTATGACAAAGCTTGGACATCCTCGTCTTCAGGGCTGCCAGTGTGTGCGTCGTTACCTTGGAGAGCAGTGGTAGGTAATTTCTCACTCGCACAACTCTTTTCAAAGCTTCTGGCAGACCTTTGGCTTTGCTCGGCGACATGTTGTTAAAAAAAACTATATTTCTTGTGTCGTACGTCATCTGCTGTTTTTGCTGGTTGATCATAAGAAATGCTCACAGATTAAATTATTTTACTGGATTAAATAAACCAAAAAAAAAACAAAGCTACTTTGCATCAATGTGAATAAATAAAAAGAAAAAAGAATGTAATAAGTCAGTTAAAAAGCTAAATACTTACAGGGTGAGCGAAGGACATCAGAAATCCATAAAACTTAAACTGGAAAAAGAAAACAAGACAAACTTGAATTAAAATGTGATTTTTTTTTTTTGGTGCTAAAAAGGCTCATTAAATGAAACCAATGATCTTCTCTGTCAGGAATAATCAATCTATTCTTAAAGCGATGCCAATAGGAAAACAGAGCTTCAGAGAAACTTGCCAAACTCATTGAGGCAAGGCCTCTGATGACGTGGAAAAAAAGCTTGGACCCTTTGAAGACGATGTTTGTCCACGGCAACACTTGGAAGAAATGTTGCACCTCTTTCACATTTGGGGAGATGAAAAAAGCCTAAAAACAAAAAAATAAGCTCAATTTCTTCAATAATCTACAACAAAACGTCTTTGAACCTGAAGCAGGACCTTAGGTGCAACTAAAAAAAAAAAATGGAGTTTTATACTGACCATCTGCGACTGAGGAACGATGAAGAGTTGATCTCTTTTACAACTGATTCCAAACCCCTTAAGCAGACTGATGACGTCTGCTTCGGTGTAACACTCGTTGTGGTACGGTGGAAGGCGACTTATCGCAAGGATAATTTTGAAAGACAAGAACTGCAGATGAAACATAATGGGAAAGTTTAGAACAAATAAGAACAATTATCTCTGCTGAGATGTTGGTGCAGGAAAGTCATGTTTAAAAGATTAAAAAAGAACAAGAAAAAGTGAAGACTATGGGGGGAAAAGCAGACCCAGGCTGAACCTGAGCAGGATATGTGATTGATTGGTTATCACTGCTTCCACCGGTGGAGGAAATCTGTCTCAACTATGAGGTCATTTAGCAGCTGCATTAATCACTAGGCCACAAATGAACAACACTTATTACAAGGAAAAGATAGAAATCATGATAATTTAGGCGAAAAAATTAAACATATTGGAAAAAAGAATTATCTACAAGAATAACCACTCACAGAAGAGGAAAAGCTTAAGACAAAAGGATGAGTGAAAATGGACAAAAAAAAAAGAAATGCACATATTAAAAAAGATTAAAACGCTTGAATTTCTTTTCCAAAATGCTGCTAAACTATAAGTTCTAGAGACTAGACATAAAGTCTTGACATTTGTGACCACTGGGACTTCATTTTAGAGCTTATTTTAAAAGCCTATATTAGTGCTAAAAGCCTGTAAGTTTCACAGATAACGGCTTAAAGGTATAGAGGATGATTTTTCATTTCTGGGTGGATCATCTAAATATGTGGTCTTCCTAATTGTCAATCATTCTCAACTCAACTCAACTTTATTGTCAAATGTGCTACATGGTAAACATACAACACAGATGACATTTCAGTCCTTTCAACCCCACGGTGCATAATAAAATATAAAATATAATGAACCATAGCATAAAAATAAAAATAGAAATAAAAACCTAAGATATAAAAATATTAAAATATTTAAATATGCAAACAGTAGTGCGAATGGTGCAAGTAGTGCAGCAGGGTGAAGACATTGTGGGCGGGGTCACCTGCGATCCTTCTGGTGATATGTTTATGAGCCGTCGTACGTGCTCGTCCCGTTAGCTATTGTTTTCTGCGCACTTTCAGCCTCATATGTGTGGTGAGCTACGGTTTCAGACAGTCATTGAAGCTCACCTTTCTCTCCACCATTCTTTGAAAATGGCCGAGGGTCGTAAGAGAAAAAGTGTCTATGAAGTGAATGAGTAGAAAAGAAAGGCCTCAGAGGAGGCAGAAATATCCCAGAATGCTTTGTGCAGAAAGCTCTCCACACAAATCATTATGGGATTTGCTGTCACTCGCCATAGGCTGCCGCTACCCGACGGCGGCCACTAATAACACAGATGGCACAGGCACCACACAGTGGAGGAGGAGTAAAATGACCAGCGGGGAGCAAAAAGCAGTGATCACCTGTTCGAACGCTCAGTTAACTGAGTTTGGTATAAAGTCCACCATATAGTCCCTGCTCTATATAGTGATGGACGGATTTTGGGGTTAGGGTGGATGTTTGTTAGCCTGACGTAGTCCGACTCAATTCTAGTCAGAATATGAGTCTGATACTGCTCCATAGAGCTGTGATTATGGGGCGTGTTTCGAACGAACCAGGAAAAACTCAATTGGATAGACCTACAACCAATAAGAGCAACGTAGTGCATGACGTATGTTAAGCAACGCATAGTTGTTGTCAACAAAAATCAAAGCGTGCAGTTGCACGCCTATAATAAGAAGATGAGCCTTGATCGCATTTCTCTGTTCCTCTTTTAAAATTAATTTGCTGTCGATATCTTCTAGAACAGACCTAATAGCAGAATCTACACACCTCAACTCTCCAGCGGCAGCCATTGTTGTTGTCACCCATGCGCGCTTTGGTCACATGGTTGATTATGTTACTGTTGATCATCTGTCCATCATCGTATAAAGCCCGCCCTGACAATTTGATTGGCCCACCAGATATTGTGCAAGCATACTCACGCTACTATTGAGCAATGCCAGACCGAACTTCCCGACCTCAAACGTTGTGGGCGGGACTAAGTTCGGAATGGCACCCAGGCTAGGATGTTTGGGGACAGTAAGCATGTATGAGCTATGAGAAAAGCAACTTTTAAACAGAGCGTGCACGAGGAGAAATGGGCTTGTGCATGTTCTCGCACACACATTTTTATTTAAGTCGGAAAATCCTCCACAAAACCTTTAAGCAACACTATCTCTAATCTAAAAATGGAAAAATATCCAGTTTTAAATTCCCACCACCACAGATTTCTAACAACTTTTATTCCAGCTCTACTGGTTTAATCTCTACACTTCAACCTTATTGTCTCACCCTTCAAGGAGGCGACGGTTCTGCATTTATATTTAAAATCTATTTACTTTAAAACTGTATAAAAATGAATAGTCAGAAACTACTACTTCCAAAAAAGGTTATTTTTTATTATTTTTACCCGTCCTGGTTTCTCTAGAAAAAAGGCGTCTCTATTTATTGGTCTCTGCCTGGGAAATTATTTCCCTCACGTTTTTATTATCATTATTTCTGGCCTACTATATAAAGCTTTGAACTCAACACCAATTCTGACTTTTTGATTTGAAAAAGATTCCTAGATGGGAAGCAAAACGTCTTTAAACTTGGAAACAAAGTCCAGAGGATTGTTTTTTTTTTTTACTTTTTTGGAATTTTCCTCACACCAGTGTATCAGTTTACATTTGCAAATTGTTATGCTTGTCTTTAGAATTTTGTTAATAAGAACCTGCCTTATTGCAAGTGTTATTTCTCATATTACAAAATATTACCATGAAAAGTAAAAAGAATCCTGTTTAAATGTCTTTTATAGCATTAAACTAGAACACCTTTAAATCCAGATCTTTCAAAATTTAAATCTAAAAGTTTGTTTTAAAATCAACTTTCACAGAATAAATAAGAGTTTATAAATCCTCAGTGACAAACTTACCGCAGGCGACAAGATGGTCTTGATATCAAACTGACCTGAGAGGAAAACCAAAAATCAATAAGAAGGCAAAGAAAAATGGCGGCTGACGCATGTATTTCTGATCTTTATATGCAGTTATTTCATACGGAGCACAGATGGTTTCAAAAACTGCTGCATCTTCTCTCCAGGAGTCAGAGGAGACGCTTCATTTGAAGGTGCTGCAGCAGTGGGCTCTGATTCTCTCTCTGCTGTTGAGGATTTAATCTTCGCTTCAATCTCTGCAGAAGATGCTGGTTTCTTCTGATTCTCCATAAGATCTAAAGAAAAATAACATTAAACAGATGATTAAGACCATTTCCCATAAAACTCATTCAAATGAAATAAAAGTAATGTTCCCTCTTTAGCTCCAGAATAACATTCTGGGAATGAAACAGCAGCCTGCAGCCAGAAATACCAGAGTTTGCTGAAATGTTGGTTTTGGTCTTCAGATCTTCTGGCTTCAGCTTCATGCTGTTCTGGACCTGTGCAGGAGCTTCTTCCACAGAGCTCTGCTGGGTTTCTGAGTTGGTCTCTGGGCTCTGATGTGGATCATTTGGAGGTTTAGATGCCTCAGTCTGAACTGTGCCGCTTGGTATCGGACTCTCTGTGGGTTTTTCATCTGCAGTTTCTCCTCCTTTGGATTCAGCTACATTCTCACCTTTGACCTCAACATAAACATTTGGAGCCTGTTGGTTCTTCTCAGGAGATTTCTCATTTCTACTTTCAGTCGTCTCTCTTTCAACCACTGTTAATCCTCCATCTTTCCCACAGGAATCCAAACTGTTTGGTGAAATGTCCCTCTGAACATTGGGCTCAGAGTTTTTGATCTTTTCCTCTGATCCAGATCCATTTGTAGCCAAATTCTCAGTCATCAGATCTCCTTGAACAGCAGGTAGGGTTTGTTTTTCAATAGGAGCATTAGGAGACGGTCCACTCTTTGTAGCTGAAGGTTTAGCATTGGTGTCTTTGGTGTCCAGATCAAGACCTAGTTTGGTCGGGCCAAAGTCTTTCAGACGCTGTTTTAGGCTACTCACACTGAAATTAAAAGAAGACACAGATTACATAAAAACAGAATAAAACACTTTTTGTTTAGGTAAATAAATACTCAGTTTTGTTTCAGTAAGGGCAGAAGTAGGGTATAAATTCTACTCTTATTGATAAACTAAGGCTTCAAGCTCAGAAAAGTGTTACATTTTCATTAAAAGGCATAAATATGAAGTATAGAATTTAACATTTCAAATATTAAGACTTTTAAGGATGTCATTTTTTAAGCAAATTTTTATCAATACTCACGATTCAACACGTGGAACATTATTCCTATATTAGGGTAAACGAAAAGATCAGTAAGTTGATGAATATTGCAACTAACTAATTTCCTTTCAGATATTAAATATTAAAGAGAACAACATACCAGGCTTTAGCTGCATCTGGTAGCCTTGAAACCACCAGGTTTACTCCACTAGATTCAGCCATCTCGATGCATAACTGAAACAAATTAATACAAAAAAATATTCTGATTTTTTTTAACATATCTTTTTGGCCCTAGAATTAAATGCATGCTTTGTAGAAGCCGTCTCTTGTTTCTGCTGTCCTACCCTGTTAGCAAGTGACAGGAAGTTGACAATGGGAGAGATGTTGGCCACTGCTGTTAGGATGCAGTTGATGAGGTCTACAGAGGTCTCGGAGAGCTCCACACACACCAGCCGCTCCTGCAGACACTGGAGCTCTGGGACGTGCTTTAAAAAAAAAAAGTTACTTTATTTAAAGAAATCAGGCATTCAAACAATTTAAAATATGCACAGAGTGAACTTTAACTTACGGCATTGCTCCATTTCATCAGAGTTTGGTACATTGTGTCCTGCAAAAAACAACAACCAACAAAATGGTTGTAATCATCATATAATATTGAACGCCCTGCATCCTAAAACCATTTTACATTTAAGATATTTATATGCATGGAATTTGGGATAGTGATAATATGTAATGAAATGCTTTATTTCTAATACATTTCTGCAGGGGGGTGTGAGGGAATCACCTCTTTCTGCTACAAAATGATGGGGAGCCCTTTGGTTGCTAGTCTAGTTAGCCTTCTTAGATTGCTACTGAT